TTGCTCCTGGCAACAATCAGGAAAAGCTAAAATGTTGCTCTTATTTCATGCAGTAATGCTGATTTACCATAGGTACTAATAAGATAGTGTGATCAGAATCTGTTTATGTACCCATAAGGAAAATATAAATGCATGTTGTGAATTAAGTAGCATGTCCTGAAGTGCTCTGGTATTCAGCTAGGAAAAGTGAAATGCATTTTAAAAGGAATTAGTGCTTATGTACTCTTAAGTAATACTGAAGAATAAGGTTTTTTATATATGTATGATAATCCTTTAAACACTTCAGTATTTGGCCGATTCATGCAAAATTCTCCACGAACAGTAGTGTTTCCTTATTTCTATAACACAGAAAAAATTGGGAGTTTGAATGAACTTGGTTCTTGTACAAACTGCTGAGACAAATTTGGAAGCAGCAAAAAGTGAAATAGTTTCAATCTGATATCATGCACTAATCCCTTTGATTGGAATTACTGCTACCAGATAAAGGTACCCAACTCAACTGCTTTGTCAGGTTTATTCCAATTCAGACAATTCACAAGTCAATAATAATTACAGCTAATAATGGAAAGCTTTTGGATCAAATTTTATATTTGGGAAAGAAAAGTTCTTCTTCTTTCAATAATCACTTTAAGCAGTTAAGTTTTAAAACAGAATAAAGTACTGTGTAAAATAGGCACGGAATTATTTTAGTTTTAAAACCTTTTATTTCAGATAAAGCATGCTGCTATATACAGAAAAAAATGTGAGTCAAAGCAAGAGCAATACAGAATGGGCAACATATTCCTTAAAACTTACAAGATGCTTTTAAAAGCTTCAGTGCACCAGCAGTATGATATATTCTTCTCACTCCTAAATCACCTCTAGCAAAATGTCATTTCCTTGCAGATCCTGAGCAACCTCAGCTACCTCTGCTCAATATAATGATAAATTAAAGTTTCCAACACAAAACTTACAGCAATGGTTTCAGTAAATGACTTTTGCCAGTATAATATATTGAAATATAACTTCACATTGCTAATACCTTATTTCAAACAGCATCATTCAGCTACGCAAACTAAGTGTGTTATACATTTAGCAAAGTCTAGGCCAATCAGTTTTCCTTTTCAACTTTCTTTCTCTTACTTCATTATCTTTACACCAGTAAAACTCTGTGAAAATCTCATTCTTTTTCCTTCTAAAGAAATACTGTCAATAACTTCCCTCTCATTTTCTTCTAGAATTAAAATCAAGAGACTACAATAGTGACTTTTGCTGTATACTGAAGTTTGAGATAATAAAGGAAAAAAGCGAAGCTACTTTATCGTGAAGAACGTGTCCTGGGTTGTGTCATGATTTCACCCTTGGTGAGAGTGAATGGCTAACGGGCTAACAGCAGAAACCAAGTGCCTAGCAGCACACCTTTGCACGAGTGGCAGGCTCAGGCTCTAAGTCAGGCCAGCAGTTAATGTGTTACTGGGACTCTGTGTTTGCCCTCGGCCGGGGCCGTTTAGCTTTTAACGTTAAGGAGCTGCGCGGACAGGCCGTGATGCCAGTTGCGCAATTTGGCAAAGCGTGGGCTGTTACGTTCCGTTTCAAACCTCTCCCTGTGGCATGAGGAAAGAGAGAGAGACAGAGACAGAGAGAGACACACAGACACAGAAGAAAGAAAGGAGGGAGAAAGAAAGGGGTTAGGGACCATGGCTACCACTCCCCTGCCTTACAACTAGGGCAGTGGCAATTTATTTGGATTTTTTCCTCAGCTTTCAAATCAGCAGAGTGAAGGCTGGGTGGTGCTTTTTTGGACCATGTGTGAAAGGTTTTGCAGAGATTTATTTCTGAGAAGTAACTTGATATAACTTATTCTTTGACTTGTGCTTGGTATTACAGGGCTGCTTTTGCTACAAATGCAGTGTAATCCCATTGTTTTCCTCCCAGCAGTTTCTCTTGGCTTCTCCCTCCCTCTCACACAACTGAGGAGTCAGTGAAATTAACTCATACAAGTGCAAAATAAATGCAAATTATTTTCTATTCTCTAACACTTAGGTCAGCCCATATGTAACCTGCTGTCCTTCCTGCAAGGACCACCAACCCCAGGTTTCAGCAGTACTTTTGTATAGCTTCCTCAGAATTAGTGAGTATTAGTGTAGACATTTTGCATAGATATTTCTGGTCATTTGTGTCACAAAGCAGAACAGCAGGGGATTTTCAAAGCAGAGTCCTGTGAAGTATTGGCCACCTCCTGCAACCCCTGACTGCAGACTGGAGTGCTCGAGCCATGCTCAGCACCTCTCAGGATTTAATATTTTCTAGATGCCTGGTAGCTTAAATTCAGCTTTTGTACATAAAAAGGGGAAGAAGGAAGGTGTGAGATGATAGCACAGTCAAGGAGAAGTATATCAAATAGAATGAAAATGTTCTCGTTATTTGCAAAACTTTTTGCAGTCATTGCAAACAAGGTCATTTTTTCCTCATTATTTACACTCAAAACACAAGACAATTAATTGTGTTAATGCAGTGGAACTTGAGAGTGAAACCAGCCAAACAGAAAGGAGCAGACTGGGCTGGTTTTACTCCTCAGGCTGAGGAAAGCACAAAACAATAAACAGAGTAAATGCCAACAAATTCACTGATACTTCTAAATCTTTTGAGCTTAGTAACACAGTGCCATGCAAGTAACAGTCCTAAAGGAGTCTTGATGTATGACTTCTCAATCTATTTTTTATTCTTTTAGGTAATTAAGAGATATAAAGTATTTCTAGCTGAAACTTTCTGATGGCATTTTTTTTCAGCTAAACCAGAATATACTAGCTCCAGCGGGTCTGACATATAATTTAAGAACTCCCTCACTGCTTTGGATATATTACCCCTCCATTCAAGGAAAAGGTATTCAGAAACATCTGTTTGGCTTGAAATGGATCCCATCTCTCCAGAAAATATTCCACAACAATCATCACACCAGCAATGAAAAGTTTTCATAGCAAGTTATACTTTTATGTGTGCCTTCAAAATAGCAGCAGCATGAGCAAAGGACAGTCATACAACACACTCATTAATATTAACTGACAGGAATATTCTGCCACCCAAATTCCCAAGTTTATGGGTTTTTTTTAATATATGTCATGAAGTTGGAAGCAGCAATCTAAAAGTGACTACTTTAATGTAAAACATATCTGCCAAAAATAAGCTACATCTTTCTTCCCTCCACTCCTAAGTGTTTGGAAGAAACATCACCATTCCATGCTGGCTACACTGAGGAGCTGACACAAAGAGACAAGAGAAAGCACTAGAGAGAGATTGCTCTCAGCCTGCCTGAGGCCACAGCAATGGATGGATGCCTGCACAGCCTGGGCCCTGCTGCCAAATCCCCAGTGGAGTTTGTCCAATGTTTGAGGTGGGTATCAAGCACCCAGAGGGTGCCAGCGCTGTCAGTGGGGTAGGAAGGAGACCCCAGCTCATTCCTTGCACCAGAGCTTACACCAGTTGCACTGTCCCTGTGTAACTACCTACACACGCTCCCTTTATGCCTCTATTACCAATGCACACCTTAATTAAACCTGTTCAGCTGTGCCTAAACATTACCAGAAACATCCTTGGGCAAGAAAAGAATAACACAGTGATACCTAAAGACTGCAGAAAATGTGCAAAGCATAGTGGATGTGGTCATGTACTTGGAATTACACTGGACAGAATGTGCAATTTACATGTGTTGAAGTACTATCAGATAATTATTGCAACATATCTCATACCATGTAAAGTTTCCACTATTTTATATTTTCCAAAGCCACAGATTGGACCTAGAGAGATTATTTCTTTAAAACCACATATTACTCTCAGATATGAATGGGGCAATGTTAAGTTCAGCACAATGCTTTAAATCCCATCATAATAAGGATTTGGACGTGTGCTATTACATCAAAACAGATAATGCACAATACATGTAATGAGAATTAGGCTTGCATATTTGAGGGAGGAAATAAATCCCTGAGGGCTATAATGTGAAGCCTGATGTTCAGGCACCCAGCCATGAACTTGGGTGAACTGCAGTGGAGGGCTTACAGCAAACACCAACTGAAAGCACTCTTGTATTCTCACAGGGAAAACAGCAGATTCTTTTTCACTGATTCAACATTTATAACCTGCACTGTGATCAAAAGCTCAGAACCTTTAAAGAACCCACAGGGCAGTAAAATATAAAATAGAAAAAGAAGAGGTGCACTGAGTACCAAACACATCACAAACCCAGCCGGTGGCTTAGAGCACCTAAAGTGAAACAGGGATTTGAAGTATGCAAACAGAAACTAAGGATTCCATGCAGAATGCTTCTGATTCAACTGCAGTTTTAAAGCTCAACATAATAATATTTAATACATCTATTTCCTGGCTATGCAGGATAGTAATAAATCTTTAATTCCATGTTATATCTCTGAACATATCCTCTTTTTCAGTGTATTTGATACATCATATGAAACAAATACATTTATCCATTAGCAAAAGCAGTCCTGTGCTTCCATACTCTACAAATTTAAGTCATACTTATTCCAAACAAAACATAAACCAATGATTATGGGTATGAATGGAAACAACTCCTTTACTGTATCTTTTAAGGAGAATCAAATGTCAATCAGAGGGTCATCCAAATAAATTGCTCACAGATTTCAGTGCTATCACATCATTACATATTTTTATCCACTTACACATTCAAGTAGTTACACAGGCCTTAGAAGTCATCACATTCACACACCCAGTAAAGTACAGGAAAGTTGCATGAGCAGAGAGCTTTCAGATTTGAACATACACTTCAAAAATTTTACACTGATTTTCCTAAAAACATGCTGATTTGTTATCCTTCTCATTCAAAAGCCTCTCAATAATAGCATTGTAATTTCAGTGATTTTTAAGTAAATGTGTTAGAATATTTTAGGACAAAAAAATAATAAAGGAAGTTCATATTAATGTTATTTTAAAACATTATTGGGTTATCAGGAAGGAGAAAGCTGTATTTTTCACAGGGACTTGCCTACCTTGACCTCCTCAGAGCTTCTTCATCTGGATCTTGCACTGCAGGAAAAAATGTTTCAGTTAAAAAATAGAAAGAAAGGAATTGGCTTTATAGTATTTAAAATTCTTTAGAAACTTATCAAAAGACTATCTAAAGGTGCATTCACACTGACTTTGCAGCAGTGGAATTTGTAAGAACATCATGAAGATAGCAGTTCCCTAGGGACAGGAAGGAGGATGTCAGGAGGAAGGTAGTGATTACAACTACTTTCCCATTCATTATTAGCAATGTTTCACAGCTGTAGGCAATGATTCTACAGAGAGGTCCTGCTGTTTGGTACAAAGCAGGAGAGACAGCAGCAGCACATTAATGGGGAAAGGGAATGCCAAATATTTCCTCCTGATGTGGGAAAAGGCCCTGACCTTCCTTCTCTCTACAATAGGAGCCACCTGTGAGCTTAGTACCAGGTAGCCACAAAATCATTTCTATAGGCAACAAGGTTAAAGCTCTGTGATACTCAGATCTAGGTTTAGATACCAGGGCTGATAGAGATATAGATTCCATATAAATGGTGATTCTTTTTTTTTTTACCTCCAGAAGTCACTTCTATAAAAGACTGTTATGGAAGACACGACATGTTTATCATTTTTGTCTAAGAATGGACAGCTCTGTATGTCTAGGCTGCAGGAAACACAAAGATTGCACTGCAGAGACTTGATTTCTAAGTAGAAATAACTGTGAGGTCCCAAATGCTTGTTTACTGTACAATCTGTTATACTTTTATGCTGAGGCCCCTGGCAAAAGAATTTTCTTCATAAAGCATAAGATGAGATGAGATTGTTCACTATGATTTCTTGAGTTCCCTCAAGTTACATGCAGGATCGTCACCTTCACTGACAACTACATGAACCTGGACATGAGTATTCCCTGAGTATCAGTGGCCAATACCAGGGCAGTGAGGAAAGACATCAATCTAAAATCAGGATGAGGGGGACGTTTTGTTATTCAACTTACTGTACTCAGTTCCAGTCATCTGGGCAAGGATACGGAAGGACTTGGACTGCAGGTTGGCAGAGCGACGGCTCCAGTCCTCACTGTCATCCTCAGGCTTGTTCTGGGTTTTAAGCACAGCCTGATACACTGGAGAGGCACTGTCTACGTGAGGATCCTTTATAGGGAGGGCACTGCAATTCAGAAAGGGAAATGTTGGAAGCAGCTCTCTGGTCACAGTATCTCACCCAGCCATCCCCTACACGGCTTTGAAACTATCACTTCTTAAAAAAATTCATAGATAAATTTTATGTCATGGCTCATTCTATCTCTGAAAGGGCCTGTTATCATTCAAATCCATTTGGAAATACCTGTTCATAATTCCTCAGCCAATGCTGAGGAATTATGAACAGGTACACAAGTGTGCAGTGGTTAGAATAATATGTGGAGAGTAGGCTAGGCAAAACCATTTATTTCTCTGACCATTTTTGTTACATATTATTTCTTTTATAAACAACTTCATGTTGGTACTGTTTTATGTTTTCTTTAAATTACAGTGCTGGGCCAGTGCACCTTAAGGTTGCAATTAGAAATAAACCCATATTTCAGTATAAAAATAATGAGCTAGACTTTTATAGCTTTTTCTAGAGATGATTCTTTTTCAAACTGAATTAAATTTCCATCTGCCATAGTGTGGATTCATTGTCTACTAAACATGTGAAGCACAGGAAGTCTAGACTTGCACTCAAGACTTGCATATATAAGTAGTATCTGAAATCTTTAATGACAGAACGTATCTCAGGATCTTACAACATGCTTAATCATCTTGCAAAGTGATATATCCAGTTGTGCACACCTAAAATCAAAGCTGCACAGGTCTGTAGCACAAGTGAGGTAACCTTGCTTTGATTTATGATGCAGGCTAGAAACAGGCTTAGTAACTTAATAGGTTTTGGTGGTATTTTTCCCCAGTGAAAATAACTTCTGCATAGCAGAATTAAAATTAACTATTAACAGAGCTGCAGAAATATACACTGAGGGAATGATGTGTGCTTGGAGCAACTTGGCTCCATGACTGCTCTAAATACAAGGTCTATTTTTGAAGCAAGTGATTTATTGTAACAGCTTTATGCTATTCCATAAAGAGCTTTGCAAGCAGCAAGCTCAACTTCATGAAAACTGAGAAACAGTTCTGTTTAAAGTTAAGGGCCATTTGGTCCAACAGTTGCTTCCTTGGTTCAGGCTCAAAGTTAGTGCTAAGATATCACTTTGCAGAGAAAATCTACAGAAAATCTGGGTCTGTGATTTGAAAGCCTGAGAGGACTCATGAAAAGCCAGGATGTCTGACATCCTACATAGAGTGGGATGCAAATGTTACCAGGTAGTGCTTTAAATATCAGTACTTCCCAGCTGACACACTCCTTCAGCACTGGGTAATACACACTGGTTTGATGGATTTACACATAATACCATGCATTTATAACCCCCATATATGTAAACTTCTCACTTTCCTGAGGAGCCATCAAAGTACAAATCCCAGTCAGGCTTTTTTTGTGTGTTTCCACACACCAGTGGGGTGGAACACAGCTTAGGTTTAGAATTTAGAGAAAAACCTGAGTCTTCAGCTTAAGCTTTGCTACAAACCATACAAGTTATGTAAAAAAATTCCTCAGTGTGAAAGATGGCCTGTAGGAGGAAGAAACATTTTTGAGCTCCTTTTTTAGCTCGTGTTTCCTAGACCACAATCTTTACAATATCCAAACACTAGCAGGTACAGAAGGCAGAATACAGACTTGTTTATTCTGGGAAGGCTCTGCCATCAGTGACTTCCATCAGTGCTGCTGCTGGGTGCAGCAATAGACAAAGTGGTGCCATAGCCTTCTTTAGGTGGAAGAGGGGAGAGAGAGAACAGTAGTTCTCCTCTTGTGGCCCATCACACATAGCTAAAGGGCTTGCTGAGGCAGGCAGGAAAGCACAGAAGTGAGTTCTGCCTTCTCCTGCCTTCTGCAGGAATAGTCTTTGCATGGCAAAGAGATTCTCTCTAATACCAACAGTAAGTCACAGCAATGCCTTCGGGACTGTTCTGCTGCTGCTTCTGACACATGGCTATGCTGCAAGTTCTGTCACAGCAATGCTCCCCAAAAGGTGACCCTATTTTCAAGTCCCCAGAGCACTTCAGGGTGCTTCACACCCAGAACCTGGCCTGTAAGAATACCAGAAGTGACTGCCTGATGTGGGCCAACAGTTAACTTTATATCCCCACACTGACGACTTAAGCTTGTGAAGCTTAAAAACCTGCTGTATGGGACAGCAAATTTCCCAGCTGAACATCACTCTAGAGTGGATAATAAACCACTGGATAGGCAGTGCTGCTGATTTCAACCATGGACCACTGTGGCAGCAATGGTGTGACAGCCACAGACAGTTCAAATTCCTCTCTTTATATGCTCTGGCTCAAATACTTTCTTCTTATATTACGACCTGTGTACAAAAAAGTAGTTCAAAGGTTTATGTACAGATATGCCATTAACTCAAGCATTGTTAAAAACTAGAGCTGGAGGCTGGACCACAAATTTCACAGTAGCAATGTGTAGCATTAATATGACATATTAATATCCTTATGGTAGATGATTAAGGCAGGAAATGGAGCTTGGTGAATTAACCTCCCCAGCAGAGTGAAACATGCTCATATAAATTGAACTAAATTAATGCAATACATTGGAGTATTTCCAACTCTGTCTTTAATTCAGCAGGCCTTTTTCTTTTTTTAAAAACATAATTATATTGTGGATGAATAACTAGGACATATAAGCCTCTCAGCATGGAAGTGTAAAATAGAGCGCATCGCTGATTATGAGCATTTCATAAACCTAAATGTGACAGTTTATTCTTACAGACAGCCTAAAGATGCACATAACCATGTTAATACCTCTGTTATACATCTTTGTAATTTAATTTCTTTCCATCTGGGTGTGGATGTGCAGAAATATCATGCATCTTTAAGCATATTACTTTAAATTGATTCTACTGAAAAAAAAAACCTCTTCCCAAATGGGTTAGAGCTGTTGGAGGTTTTTAGTCTAGAGCCTAAGGTATTCTAGTAGGAGTCAATAAAAATTATTTTCCTTTTTCTTATCATCATTTAAGTCACACATTCTTACCATTAAAAAAAACTTTAAAGACAGTTCAAGCTTCTCTGAAAAAGTAGCAATGGAGGAATTTTATATTTTGGAGTTCATTATAAGCTATGGTTTACTATGTGAATGACTCCCTGGAGTCATTATGCAGATTTAATTTCAGGAGATATTAAGTAAAAACTTAGGAACACTGCAGTCTTCTACCCCTGATGTAGACATACAACAAAATATTGTGACATCAGGTATTACACTGATTCCAGCTATTTTTAAAAAAAGCCCTAAGAGGTAAAAACCCCACAACTCAACAAAGAAAAGTTCACATAGACTGGTAAATAGCCAGCCAAGTTGACTTATTGCAGAGGACACACAAGATCTTAGTTTGTACAGTCACATTATTGATTATTCTACTTCAACTTTCAGATCTTATTCCCAATAAAGGTGCTGGATATATGTCTTTATGCAACTTGTGAATTTGGCTAAAACTGCATAATGAAATTTAGAAGTGGTTTGACAGAAATGTACTCAAAATGCACTGTCCACAAGGTTTTACTGCAGCCACCTAGCTCCTGGTTCTTGGTTTAGCAAGATCAATTAAAACAGAAAAGCAAAGCAAAGAAAAATATATAAAGTCAGGGCTTTTGAAATTTTCTACCTTTAGGTTTCAGCATGGAGTCTGAGCATCAATAACTCTGTCCTTCCCTTTTTGTTTTCCATGGTGATCCAGTAAGTGTGGCTTATTTCTGAGTGACAAGAGCCTGACTCTGATCTCATGAAGCTACAACATCACTGATTTCAAATGGTCAAACTAGAAAATGAGTTCCTATCTTAAGCTTGTCTGTCCTTCATCACTGATAAAATAAGTAAACTGGTTCCAGCTGCTGTCTGCCCTTCAGATGTGCAGTCTGAGCTTGCTTATCGCCCTACAGACACTTGTGGGCAAATTAAAAGGACTAAGGCTACTAATTAAGAACCAAGACCAAATTATAGGCTGATAACTGAGACAAAATGAATCAGCACACAATTTGGTCTGCCTTTATATTAAAAACTCATACAAATACTTCCTCATTAAGCATAATCTTAACTCAGACTTGATTGACTAAGCAAGCTAAAGAACATTATGGTTTCTACTGCAAATTAAAGTTCAGAATATCACAGAGGAAACTAAAAGAAACTTATAAAATGAAAAGGATCCACATATGCAGCATTAACTTTATAATCATCTGATCATTTAAATAGGTATTTTTTTTAAACATTACTATTTGCATCATATAATGCTACAGCATGTAATAGAAAGTGCCAATGTATCATAAAACATCTCCTATAATCCATGCCTACGAAGGATATGAACTCTTATAGAGAACACAAATGAACTTCTTTGTACTTCACTAATTGGAAACATGAGTCCACTCAACACCTGTGGAGATTCACTGAGTCATGGCCAAAGCCAGCTAAAGGCATTGCTTGTGATCCATCATGAGGGAGAGCTGTGATGAACAACAATATCGGTGCAAAAAGTTAACAGAAAAGAAAAATAATTATAAAAAAGAGAGACAAATGGCCAGCAAAAGGGAGCACAAGCAAATACATAAACCATCCTCATTTTGAATAAGACTGCAGCTAACATATGGAAAAGAAACTACGTTAAAGTGTGTTGCTATACCTGTATTTTGGTGTCATATCAAAGGAAGGCAATTTCTATTTTGGGCAGAAGTGCACTCGGTAGGAGAGAAACCTGGCTACATTCATGGCATATGTAATTTCAGTAAAGTTATTACAACTCTGGATAAGTTAATCAGGTAAGATTACCAGAAACATGCATTGGAAAAGCAAAGTTATTAAAGATCAGGGGATTTTGCCATAGTCCAAAGGATCTGTGTAAAACACATGTACTGTATGTAAACTGGGGATAGGGAAAATTCAGCAAAACATTCCATTCTGAAGAATAAAACAGTAGCCAGTGCTAAATAAATATTTTGCATTCTTCACATCTCAATAAAAATTCCACCCCCCTTTTTTTGTCCTTTCTGCACTATGCATACAATAGTGACTATTATAAA